TCTGTCTACCATAGTGCTGTGATTACAAGTGTGAGCCCTCATACCTGGCTAGAGGTGTTAACTTATAGAATGCAATATGTACTTTAAATTATTACCTGCTATATAATGCATTTTTAATTTTAGTTTGGATACATGAATCCATAACTCAAGGAGTTAAAAGTGGAAATGGGTTCTCTAACAAGCATGCTTTACTATTTACCTTAGGCAAGTTTGTTTTTTATTAGTAAGTCTGGAGGTAGTTTGGAAGTTGCAATTCTCAAGAACAGAATGATTCCAACAAGAAATTTGGCCATGATTTACTTAGATTGAAAGTTGTGAGTGTTCTGTAGTTATTTTTGAGCTCTTCTGCTTTTGAATTTAATCAGAGATGGCATTACTCTTCTGGCTATTTGGTGATTGATCCAAAATACTAAAGATAAACTAAGTTGTTGAAACATGTTACAAATTTATGTCTAATATCCAGCAGATTACTTGGATATGCCTTAATTCTAATGTCTACTAATAAAAGTCAGTGGAAATCTGTGAGAAATTATTAAGACAGGACCTATCATTATTTCAATTTGGAGTTGATACATTTTGAATTAATCTACCAGTTAAAGAAGCCTATCCGGAGAAGATGCTGTCAGAGGCTAAGGAGCACATAGAATGTTTAGGAAGAAAATAAATTAGATTGCCAACCTCAACCTTTTGGACAGCTCTAAGTGTTGAAAATTTAAGAGATATGTAACAGTACTTTTGAGGATATGGCCTGGTCATTGCTTGTAGGATTGAATTTCCTCATGGGAACAGTTTCACAAATGATTATTAAAGGAGAGCTATTCTCATCTTTTTTTTTTTTTTAATTCAGGTACATAACTTCAGTTACATTGACTAATGTAGATTGTGTCACCCAGAATTTTCTGCCACCTGCAACTGGCTTCTGACATTCAGGCAAAGGAAGAGACCAGTAGAATACCAGAGGGCAGGAGGAGAGCAAGGGCTATTGAGTTGCAACAAGTCTCATGTGACACAGGTGCCTGAGCCTATGCTCCACCCCAAGGATGGCCAGTTCACCTCTCACTGGATCTTAGCCATTTACTGCATTCTAATTGCAGAAAATAATCTGAGAACACAACAAACATAAGCAGCTCTTTTAAAAATGTAATGAAATTGAAGAACTCAAAGCATATCAATAAATCACCTTTTTAAAAAATTAATATTTAACAAATACATTTTCTTTCTTTTGGTGGGAGGGAATCATGGTTTTATTATCAGTTTCAGGCAGGGAATAACAAATACATTTCAATGCCCACAAAAAATTACAAAAATTTGTTTGCATTGTCACTATGCACGTATTCAAGAAACATATGTTCCCATTATGCAATTTAAATGAAAGTAATTTCTTATATATAATATAGAAATGAATTTCAGAATTTTTACTATGTCAATGCATGACATTTATCTCCTTAATTATTTTATTTATTTATTTATTTATTTGAGTTGGAGTCTCACTCTGTCGCCCAGACTGGAGTGCACTGGCACGCTCACCTGCTGGGCTCCGGCGATCCTTCCGTCTCAGTCTTCCAAGTAGCCGAACTACAGGCACTGTGCAAGCTACCACGCCTGCCTAATTTTCTTATTGTAGAGATGAGGTCTCGCCAAGTTGCCCTGGCTGGTTTTTTTTTTTTTTTTTTATAAACAATATTTTTTATTATGATATTGTGGGGTACAGTTAAGGGTTAGGTATACAAATATGCTTCGTTCAGGG